GTGGGAGAGTCAAGGCTGCAATGAAGATTATTAGTGTATGCAGATTCCAGATTAAGGGGAAATAGTATTTATAGTAATGTTTCTCTCTAATAAACACACATGATCAAGGGTAATCAGGAATGATTGCTAATTCTTCAAGTCCAGTTTCTTGCTATCTTTGGCAGGTGTATTGCAGCACCCCATAGAAGCCGACTCATGAACAGCTCTTTAAGGGCTGTCGAGCAGTTATGGGTGTTGCAGACGGGTGCTTCTGTTGTCACATTTGTGTTCACGGGTGTTGCAGGAAAGGGCAGACTAATGAAATGACCAAAGATGTGAAAGCCTGCCTCTTAGAGCCTGTATTAGTGTGGTGTATAGGTGTTGCCTTCTTCAGTCTGTAAATAGGTCTAAAAAAATGAAGCACAAGTTCAAAGCCATGACATGTTTTGTTATGTAGTCAGTTTTATCAGTAGATGCAGCAATAGCATTGCAATTTCATGGCTCCTTTTTTGGGAGAAGACATTCTTGTACTGCATTGGAGAAAGAATAAATTCCTGATTAAAATCTGAGTCTCAAAGAAATGCCTGTTGTTTGTGAAGAAACTGAAAGCTTCAGGAGCCAGTGAAGTGTTCTTAACAGCTTTTGAGCAATGTGAGTGCAGTAAAGATGGAGGCCTTTTTCTTGCTCTTATTCTCAATTCTGCATGGGTATCACAGGCTCTGATAAGCTATCCTTTTTCTTAATAATAAACAAGCAGGTCCTTCCCAGATTAAACTTTAGTCTGAATGGTACTGTACTGAATAACCATTGTGCAGATTTTGGCTTTTCTTCTCACTCTCTCCCTAGAGGTATACCAGCATGAAAAACCCCCATGCTTTGTTTTAGTAATGCAGTGTTTTGGTGGATTTATTTTAACTTAGGTATTGTTTAAGCTAGTTGACCAGGTGAAAGAAACACATTTTACTCACAGTATTTTTGATAGTCTTTGTTCCTGCAGGAGTTTCTTTTCCAATCTTCCTTAAGCCCTGAACAAATCTTTCTCTCATGCAACAGAATTTCTTGCCCATCAGTACAGTCAGACTTGTAGGGGGTCTAGTCCCGGGCCTCTTAGCATCTATAGCAGCCTTTAAATATGTAAAAGAGAGAATTAAATGCTCTGTTCACTGTTTTCCATGAGTACTGGAAAGAAAAAAAGAGTTGTTGCAGCATAAGATACTTAAGTTAGGCATCAGTCAGGTGCTTAGATATGGGATGGGGTTGCCTGAAAAGACTACAGGATCTCTTTCAACTCTGGATTTTTGAGGACAGGCTAAACAAATATCTGGTGGAATTAATATTTGTATAAATTAACCCTGTATATGGACAGATGGACTGCATAAGTTTTAGAGACCCCTGTATTCTGTGATTAAGGGTTGAAGACTGAAAGCCTGAACGCTGAGGCATTTTCCAGAGGAAACAGAAGGATAGGTCTGAAAAGCTCAGAGGGATCCCAGTTGCCAAGGGGATGCGCAACAAGACAGCATCAAACAAAGAGTCTGCTCAATGCCACCAACACAGGGATCTGAGGAGGAGCCCAGCAGGTCCCTTCTAGCCTGTCAGTGGTGTGAGCTCGTTGATTTGGGGTTCTTTCATGATGCCTGCTATTCCTCACACATAGATGCACACAGAGGCATGCATGGATGGTACAATAGAGCAGGGACATGGTCTATCCTAATCTGTTTCAAATAGGAAAAGGTTATTTGAAAATGGTCAGCTTTGTGGCAAATTGTGTGAAAAGAAAGATTTATTACTGTTGTGAAAAGACTTGTTTGATGCAAGTAGCTGTTTTTTATACTTTCTTTTCTAGTATAAATATGAATTTTAATGTAAACATTTTCCAAACATTAATTTATAATGTAATATATAGATTGAAAAGCAATGAAAAAACCTGCCACTCAGCAGGAATAAGTTCAACATGACCTGTGAAACTTTTTAAAATCTTCTTTACTCTCTTTAATTTTTTTTTACTGGTCTTTACTTGACCCTTCTGACCTGTGACTGAAAATATAGAGTTAGGAGAATCACAAATTTGTAATTTTTGCTTTATTTTATTTACTATTTTGTGCTATCCTTAGTTCAAAGAAAAGCTACTGTAGTCACAGGGGGGTTTTTGAATGTTGATTTAAAAGGTTCCCTATGCTATTTGTAACCATACTGTTAATCTGGTACTTAGGGAAAAGTGAGATAATTAATCCATTATACTTGCATAATATAAAGGATCTGTGAAATAAGAGCAGTAAAATAGGTTTGTGTGGTTCTGTCTTTATTTTGGTGCTGGTAGAATAGCAGTGTTTTTACTAATAGTACTAAACTTGTGCTGCTCACAGTGAGCAGTACTCACAAACTGCAGAGCTTGACAAGCTATATCCATGAAAGAACAGTGATTTAAACTTCATACAATTTTCAACTACAACACAGGAGTCGAGAAACCTTGAATATATTCCCCAAAATTATGTGGAATGGAAATTAATGTTCGATTAGGAGGATCCATTCAGAATTATTTTGACCTTCTAGAAATTGCTGCCATAAGATTTCCTGGTATTTAACTTTAAGCATTTGTTGCTTCTGCCCTTTTTCCCCCACATCCCCTCCTCCTTGCGGTACCATATGATTTTTGGTACTCTGTAGATTTTATATTGATTTGGCCTTCAAGCTTTAAGCAGGCTGAGAGGTTTCCAGAGGTGTGTTATGACTTACAGCTCTGTGGCCACCTTTCAGTGAAGCATTGCCTGCTGTCTCTGTGAGCACTGGCCCAGCCTCGACGGCTGATGTGGTCCCTGCTGGCCCAGTGGTCCCACTGCTGTCTGTGGTTGTTGTGCAGCTTGCATGGCAGCGTGACAAGAAGATGGGAGTTACTCCCTGGAGCAATAGCATGAAGTCTTTCACACCATGTGGCAGCTAAGATGCTTGTGCTACAAATTTATCCTGAGTAACTCAAAATTAGTCCCAGTGTGTACAATGGTGGCAGTTAGCCTGATTTGGGAGGAAAAAGAGCCCTGTCGTTGTGAGCTCTGCTGGGTCACATCCCCTGCTCCTAGGGACTAGAAAACGAGCCCAGGCTCTTTTTGGCTCTTTTTGGTTTGCTGGTTATGGGAGTAGCTTTGCTGCCTTGCTGCCATGGTGATACATTCAGTGCATGGAGGAACCTGCATCAAAGAGTTCCTGCGAGTACACTTGCAGTACTGCAAAAAACTGCATGAGACAATGGTCATCCTAACAGCAGTCTGAAGTGTCCTGATGAAGAAATGGCATACAGCAGTGTCCCAGACCTGAATGCCTACTTTTCCTTGGCTGTTCTTAGTTCTTGCTGCTAGTAGTATGAGGCAATGAGAGTGTTGAACAATTTTCTCCTATGTCCCACTGTGCAGCCTTAGTTCTGGACACCCAGGTGCAGTAATTTACAACTCTTTTCAAATGTTACCATGATTCTACCTAGCAGCAGGGAAAAAAAAAACTTTCCAAATTTATTTCTTTAATGAGTTAGTTTTGTTATGGGTGAAGAACATTTTCTTATGCTGAATTCTGGTAAGATTTTAGTTACTATAATAGAAATACAGATTTAAACATATATTTGAAATGTATAAAAACGTCTAATATGCATTATATTTAAAATATGCTTATAACCTGAACCACACATTTAGTATTACTGTTCAGGCTACATTTGTCACTGAATTTCGGATTAGTTTTTCCTGTTTGTCTGAAGAAGTTGTTTGCTGTGTTTTGTTTTTCACGGACTGAAATAAAGTGTTTATATCTGATTTATTCTGAAATGAAACATAAGCATATTTCTCCTGAGAAGTACACTAGCTATGAAGTATTGGAATTTTTTCTTATTTAAAAAAAGAGTTAGACCTTTTCTTCAGGTGTATGGGAAAATGTTCTTATTACTCTGAAACTTGTTGCTTCTTAAACAAAATATCGGGAACAATGGAAATACTGTGAAATTGGTTATCAGCTGCAAGTGTGATGTTGTTTCCTTTCCCTTACATTTTTCATGCTTTCCCACTTTCTCATTCCTTTATGAGGCCTTTTCCTACATGTGACATTTTAATTATGGAGCAATAATGAAAATTAAGAAAATTGCTATCACAACAGAAGTTAGACATTGATGTTTTTATATTTGGATGTGGTCTTGTTTAAATTTATTTCATCAGGAAATTGCACGGTATATTTGTTTGAACATTTGGTTTCAGAATAGAAAATACTTTATCCAGCTATGTAAATTGCATGTCAAGAGACTGTCTTTAGGAGATTTCACATTTATCTAGGGGGCTACCAGCTGCATCCGATTTATTACTGCAAGATTTCATAAGGTAGTGCTATGCCATGTTTAATATTTAATCTGAGATGTGAAGGGCATTGCCTATTGTACTGAGCAACAGTTTCCCATTGTTTCCTTGAATCCCATTTATCATCTGTGAATGTGTTCTGGATTTTGTTTTTGTGTTCATTATATTATAGATATTGTGGGGCAAGGACTTCCCAAAGTGTCTAAGTGGCTGTGACAATCATAGTGACAATGTCAGGTACTTTTTGTAGCAATAGAAAAAAAAGACTTTGCTCTTTAGTCTTCTTGCAATGACATGTTTTATCTGAACTAAACACAACAAAACTTTTAAGTGCCATCCCAAGTGCGTACTTTACCTGTGAGCCGCAATCAGAAAATACTTAGTTAATGTAGGAGTCATTATTTTAATGCATAATGCTTTCCTTGTGGTACAAACAGAAAGCAGTTTGAATTATGAATATTATTTGTGACATGAATTATTAAACAGTATCTGAGAGATTTAAAATACATCTCAAGGTGATACATGAAGGACAGTTTTGAGAGTGTTTTCATCTTGAGGTGTGTTTCATGTTGACAGCTATTGCAGTAAGGTCTTCAAAAAAATTTAGATCTTATGTAAAAGTTTCAGAGTCTCAAGTCGTTGACTAGAATGTGCTCATGCCATTAAAACTTTTTTAATCTTAATCTCTTTCAGTCCCAGCAAAGATGCATTGTGATCTTTGCACTGGTATGCTGCTTTGCAATTCTGGTTGCACTGATATTTTCGGCAGTGGATATTATGGGAGAAGATGAGGATGGACTCTCAGAAAAGAACTGTCAAAATAACTGTCGGTAAGAGGTAACAAACAAAACTTCTCTTTTGGGGTGGAAAGGAACATATGTGTGTTACATAAGGGCATGAAGTAATTGCCATGGTCCTGTGGTGTTACTGGGAAGAGTAGCTAACAGAGGAAGAAAATGGTTTTTCATTTTAAATTTTTGGTTTTGGAGGTTAGTTTAACAAAATTAAAGCACACTTTTGAAGTTATTTTTGATGGTGTGTTTTGAGCAAGACCCTTGTGTTAGATCAATTATTTTGTAAGCCTGAGCCAAAGCCCGTTAAGTTTCAGTAATTGAGTTCGGAGGTGGATCACATAGTTCCCAGTTCTTTCGTGTCTATTTCTCATCAAGACTGCTTCTTTCTTTCTTTCTTTCTTTCTCCAGAAAGGTCACTAATGCCTTTTGACCTAAGATTGCTGTCCCTTCTATGTAGGGGGAGCTTTTCTATTTCCTGTTTGATGCATTCCTGTTATAGACATAGTGGCTTACCTGTGAGCTGTAAAGGAAATCAGTGATATGATCAGAACGATGAGTGTTGACAGTGTTGAATTAAGATTTGCCTCAGACACCTGACATAGTTGTGTATATCTTTTAACTTTTGGTTCTGTTAGTTTTAAGTAAGTGATTAGTTTTTTAAGCCTTTCATTTCCTGACTGTGAATCTCATTTTGCTGCTCCTCACTGTCAGCTTCCTCCATTAATTGGTTCATTAGTGATGACCAGTGGTTTTCCTGGGTTGTCTTCTGGGCCTCTTCTGTCCGCCAAGCTGATGGAAAAATCATTTGTAGGCAATGGCTGGGTATACATTGCGTAGGAGCTAATTGACATTTGCATTTTAGAATAATTTATGAAAGATTAATGTTTCTTTGAGCTTTTGATCCTTATTTCTGTTATTCTTTGTTCATTTTGTGTGCAGACTCTTTAGGGACAGTACCTTTTTATGCTGCACCTGTTACATTACAGACAGCACTAATTCAGAATCCAGAAAATTTTGTAATGTCTTTTCAATTATAATGGAGTTTTTAAAATATTGTTTGCATGCTGCTTAAGAAACAAACAAACAAAAAAACCAAAAAAAAAAAAAGCCAACACAAGAGGATTCTTTAAACCTGTATCTCCTTCCAAATGGAATATAGGTGCAGGATCAGGTAGCTTTGTCCTGAAACCAACTGTCCATTTGGCACTTTTTGCCATAATTGTTTTTAGGTTGTGTTTTGTTCGCTTCATTGTACTCCTCCTACAGGTCTGGGCAGGCTTCTGATATCTTCTCTGAATTTTCTAGAGCTGAACCAGCTTTCCTTTCCTCATCAAAGTCTTAAGTGTCTTTTACTGTGAGATGTTGCCTTCCAAAATTTTTGAAGATACTGCATGTGTCACCTCTACACCCACTGTCTTCATGTGTGAATCTTTGACAGAACTAGGTCAGATGAGGGGAAAGCCTTTCTGCTCATTGGCTTCAGTGCGCTGCACACGACTTCAACACAGTCAGAAACTACTGCACCGTGTTTCCTCTTAGTTGTATCAACTCATGGTTCCCATTCTGTTCTGGGTAGCTGTGTAGGCCTAGCCAAGGAAGGACTTCACCTTCTTCACTTTTAATTCTTCAAAGGAGAAAAAAAAAAATCAGAGTAGAAGTGATACACAGTACTAAGAAAAACGGGGATATTAATTTTTTTCCGTGTGAGGGATTGATTTCTTCTGTCTGTTTGTATGGGTTACAGCAATCTGCTTTTCCAAAGAATACTTACATTTGCTCAGTGTTCTGTTGGTTCACATGTGTCACATGTGTCCTCTAACACAATCTTCTGGATTGTGTTAGAGGAGCCTGAGACTAAATTCAGCCCCTTGACTTTAAACATAAGAGTCAGTTAAACTGCTCTGCATTTACAGGGCTAAAAGTGAGCCCAGAGCCCAGCTCTATTTTAAGGTGCCTTTCACAGAGTGATCCAAGTGCGTGATCTAGGTACTAATGCCTGAACCAGAAGGCACATAAATGCTGTGTGTATACAAACTGCCGAAACCAGTTCTAATAACAGTATCCAAGTGCTGGCAGCTGCTACCTGCTAACATTGAGTCCTTCTCTACATGATAAAACTGGGGTCTTTTATGTGTTAAATACATCACAGAAGTGTCACATTAGCTGAAGTGTCACAAATCAATGTCTGCCAATGGCATATATTTAGTACTTGGGCTAAGCACTTTTAATAAGACAAGAGTTACTGAATTCTTACATTTCTGCTGCGTGAGTATTTTCCCTGGCATTCAGGAAGAGGTGTGTACATTTGCAGGATGTGCTGAGACAGAATGGTAATAGACGATTTTTAAACTTTTTTTATAATGAAATGTTTGTCAAATATAAGTTTATATGCCTGAGCCTATAACTCTTTTTTTGGTTTTAACTGATTGAATTTGTGGAGAATGTTGATGGGAAAGGATGCTGTGGATTTGAGAAGAACTTTGCTGATGGTTTTTAGTGGTTGTTTTCTTTGGAAAATTTAATTTCTGTGTTTTTTGTTATAAAGGAAAATACACCTGAAATAGAACTGTGGTCTAGAAAATTTCTCTGGCTAGAAAGTTTTGGAGCTTGTGTGAAAAAATAGAATTTTAAAGAGAACGTAAGAAGACTTTAGAATCTAGAGCTTTTGCCAGTGGTGTTTTCTGGTAAAGCTTACATCTCTCTTTGTTGTTGTGATTGGATTGTTCAGGAATCCACACACAAATGCAGCTTTTCTGATCTGCTTGTAATTCATCATGAGGCTCCTCCTCTATAAACCATTCCTTAATTACATGGGGAATACTTACTGCATATGTTCCCAAAATGACCTTACTCTTTATTGATGTATTTATTTCTCTTGGGGGCTTTGTAACAAAAATAAGTCAGGGAATAGGAAATCAAGCTTTTTTGCATATCTTCTCTGATTGCCGGAGAGATTGATGCTACCCATCCTATTAAAAGGAATGTCAACGGATTGAAATTAAAGGAAAAAAAGTAGTAGTGACAATGAAAATTTGGGGCTTTGCAGTTTGTGCTCGGTATGCGATGGAAATTATTCTCTTGAGACATCCACAGTAATGTTGTTCGGCAGCCCTGATGGATGAGACTGGTTAAGAGGATATGCTTAGCAGTCTGGGAATGTTGCCTGTCTTGCTGTGGGTCCATTAGACACTGAATCTATAAAATTAGATTATTGTAATTTGAAAATAGTACATTTTAATGGCTGATCTATTGTGAATAAATCTTGGCTAGCCTCTGATGTAACTCTGTGTCAGTTAACACTTACTTGACTTTGTTGGAATTGACTAATAAACTCTAAAAATTGCAATTTGGGAAACAGAAGAAATTACAACTATTAAGAGATTGTCTCTGCTATCCAAACAATTTGAACCAAGGTTGTTTTGATTTATTAATGGTAACTTGAGCTGTTCAAGGCTCAACTTGAGCCTCTTCTCCTGCTTGTTGGTGCTGATAGGCATGCTAGGGGTCCTACAGAGTTTGCACATGCCCTTGGTTATCCTTGTCTCACTGGCCTTGCCAATATCCATTGAAGCAGTGGTAGCAGCTGGCATAGCTCCTACCTCTGGCTGTGGGTTTGGCCCGGTCTCTTGAGAGGGACTACAGAACAAGGAAAAAGGGGAAGCAGTGGTAGCTACTTTCCATGCTTACCAAGCTAAAACTAAAACTGTTGTCATGATTTTTTTTTTCACTATTGCCTTACTCTGATGATAATTGGAAGGATTTTCTTGCTTTCTGTTTGTGTGTGTTTTCAAGGCAGATTCTGTCTTGCATTCTGTTCCAGTAATGCTGGTTTGGTAATTTCTCTTCTCCTCAGAGTCTTATATAATGAAGGCACTTGCTCTTTTGTGTTTGGATTTACATTGGAAGAATTTGCTGTTGTTTATGACAGGAGTGGCAAAGCCTATTTAGTTCACTTCTTAATTGTAGGGAGGCTTTGACCAGTCCTGCCCTATAACAAGTAGGCCATGATACCTGAGCAGTGTTTGTGATTTCTTTAGGTATTTTTTGGATTGTTTTGGATAAGGATTGGTATCCTGGAGAGGAGCTGAATCTTCCTGTCGATGGGCAAAGCTTTAGAATTCAACAGTACCCTGCAACACTGAATTTTAGAGATTAAATCTAGTTGCATACAATAATTAGTTATATTGAACAATTACTGTGTGTTGCATGCATTGCTTTCAATTTCATTAGATGATTATTCTCTGGTTGTGAAAGAGGGCCCACAATTGATTTTTTTCTGTTGCTTTATAAATCTTTCTTTCAACTACTCTGCTATTTCACTGAGTAGGGTTTTGCAGCACTGTTAAATAAGCATACTGCAGCACATGCTTACAGTCATTTACCTTGGAAGTGCTTTGCCCCTGGCTTATTGTGGAGGAGATTTTCTGTGTGCTGCGTGGGTTCTGAACATAGCAAGGTTTATATTGACTGGTTTCTATTTAATAAACAAACTATGACAAGCATAATAGTTAAATGTCTAAACAGAACAAGATGCTCAGATTTTGAAAAGCCTGTTAAAGAGCAACTGAAGATTTCTATTTACAAAACAACTACTCCACTTGGCATAAAAATGCTTTCTGTCAACATGATGGACTAGAGCATCAAGTCTATCCTCAGTCAGTTTGCAGACACACCAATCTGAGCAGGAGTGTTGATCTTCTGGAGGCTCTGCAGAGGAATCTTGAGAGGCTGGATCAAGGGGCCAAGGCCAAAGGTATGAAGTTTACTAAGGCAAAATGCTGGATCCTGCCCTTGGGTCACAACAATCCCTTGCAGCACTGCAGGATGGGGCAGAGTGGCTGGAAAGCTGCCCAGCAGAAAAGGACCTGGGAGTGCTGGTTTACAGCAGCTGAACATGAGCCAGTGTCTGCCCAGGGGGCCAAGAGGCTGGTGGCATCCTGGCCTCTGTCAGCAGTGGTCTGGCCAGCAGGACCAGGACAGGGATTGTCCCCCTGTGCTGATGAGGCTGCACCTCGAGTGCTGTGTCCAGTTCTGGG